TAAAAATGGTTAATGCCTGAAGGTAAAGGAAGTAACTGAGAGAAATTGTAAGACTTTATTTGCAGGATAATGGTTAGTATTGTTTGTGCCCTTACTTTAATTTCTCCATTATAGTCCTGATCTATCACCCCAGGGAGGACTTGAAATCCTTTCAATGTCAAATTGCTCCTCCCTAAAATTAATCCTATCATGACCCGGAAGGGGACCATACGCTCCTGTAGCAATGGGGGTTAGTACATATCGGGAGGTGGGACTGAGGTCTGATCCTGCACTTCCTGGGGTGGCACGGTAAAAGGTTTCCAAAGTTGGTTTGGGATTGAGCCAGCTGGAAAGGCTGCAGTGGGGTTAAGGATAAGACCCCTACTGTTTGGTGGGGCCAGGGCTGGCTCTGCTTGAAGTTTCCCTACCTACGGAGCATTAAATTATCATCAACATCAGTCCTGGAGTGGCATTCATTTACCCAATGCTTTCCTCTCCTGCATCTTGGTCCATTCCCTGAATGCAGGCTGGTCCAGTATCAGCACAGACACAGATAAAATGCTTCCATGATAAGTAATCTCCAGGTGAGAGACTAGCCTCTGTGACAACATTAAACCTCTACTAACCTTCCACTGTCTGTCTTAGTTCCCCTGCCACATACACCTATTTCAATTTGTCAATTTAAAACAGTCTGAGATAAGGTTTATTTTCTAACTTTATTTGTCCTAGGATGTGGACAGTAAATGACACTAATTGGATTTCTGCTATCAGTCTTTTTGAGTATATAGACACAAGCTTTGGTTAGGGAGGCAAAATTCGAATTATTTACTTTTACGTGTCCTTGGTTTAGGGAAGACAGGGTTTTCTAGATGGCCCCAAACCACTTGGCATTTATATTTTTTAGATGGTTGCAAACTGCTGTTACATGCGAGTCACGGAATTAGAAAATTGACTCTGTAGGTCTTTGCATACACTTAATAAAAACTTCCCTAGGATTTTAAGTATTGAATAAATTTGTCATTTCTCCTGTAGAGAGTTTTAGATAAGGTCGTAACTAATTAATGTCCTCTAACAACCTTTACAAGTCATTGAAGGTCTTGAGGCGATCCTTTCGTATTTATACCTTCTGAGGACTAATACATTGTTTTTAAGTACAGTTCCTAGGTATCTGAAGGGCATTTCCCACTGTATTTTTTTCCTAGAGCAAATCTCTAAGCCACATTTAGGGAGTTTCTTTTAAAAACTTTTACTTCCTTTTAAACAGAACAATCAACTTGGTTGCTTTTCAGAAAAACTATTAGGAGAGAAACATGCTGGCCAATACTGCAATGCATACATCTCAAGTAAAAGTAACTTTCTTTTTCCTTATGGTGTCTCATTAATGGTGAGATTTAATGCCCGAAGAATAACGTTTGGTTTACTTTGTAAATAGTAGTGGAAGAGATTTTAAAATTTCTCCTTTTTAAATTTACTTTTAACCAGTATTCTTTTTGCAAATTTTACTGTGGACTTTGTTAGAACCAATTGCTTATAAGTATTTAAACAGAACACAGTTGTTAATTTTTATTTGATAAAGCTTCCCACGTGATTTCGAGTATATTAGATCGGCCTAATTTAGTTTAAAAAGTATTTCTTTTAAGAGGAGAGAATAAATCCTTGAATCATTCCAGGGCCCTTGAGATGTCCCAAAGCTATGTCTCAGTTCAAGTCTTGAAATTTAACTTAGAAACCTCTTTCCTGAGACCATGAATTATCCATGTTTTGCACCCAGCTAACGCACCAATCAGCTCCTTACCTTACTTGTTTAATTTGTTGTGCGGTGCACTTCTCAGAGTGACCCCCTCCTCTGACTTTTGAGAGTCCCCCTGTACTCAGGTCCCTGGATCCGGGAGCCGAATATAAATATTTCTCTCTTTTCCGCGTCTAGCACTGCTAGAGCACAGTCCAGTTCCTGAGTAGGGGCGGCTGGGGATTGAGAAAATGAAAGAAAGAAATAGACACAGAGATAGAAGGAAAAGGCTGGGGCCGGGTGGGACAGCTGTCCTCTGATGGATATTTATTTTATACAGTCTGATGAAAACAAGGGTGGATTAACATGTATACAAAGGTTCTTGTTTTGGCAACACTTGCTGCACCTCCCACAGCCCATTAGCTGCTTAGGAAGGAGTTAGGGAGGGCTACAGGGTCAGGTTTAATTATGCTAGGAGAGCTCTGCCCTCCAGGCTGGGACTGGTTTGTGGCCCTGCCACAGGTCAATCCGAGGCTTAATCCTATAGCGGCTCCCTACATGCCCCCTCTGGTTCTGGGTGAGCTCCTGAATCGACCTCCACTGGAAGGTGGGATCAGGTCCTCATAGCCCACGACATAGACTCATTCAAAGATGCTGGTGCTTTGTAAATGGTTTGTGAGCTGTGATGTCTGCAGAGCGGTTTCTCAGCCACTGCACTGTCGGTAGGAAGAATGTTCCAATTCACATAAAAAACAACGCAGGGAGCTTTGGCCCACTGGGGCCCTGCCACCGGCTCTGCCTCCTGGGTGCCATTTGGCGTCCAGCGAGAGACCAGTGCAGCAGTGAGCCGAGTGTCCACCCCGGGGAACTGAGGCCCTGGGGAAGGGCCCTGAGAAAGGGTGCACTGGGGCACAAGAACTTAGGTTCACTACTGAGGCGGCCCCCTGGACGAGCAATGTGTCTGAGACAGGAAGCAGAATAGAGGAATATCATCTTTCTCTTGCATTTAAAAATATTTGATTTCAGAAAGGAAGGGAGAGAGAGATAGAGACATCAATGATGAGAGAGAATCATTGATTGGTTGCCTCCTACCCCCCCCCCCCCCCCCCACACACACACACACACTGGGAATAGAGCCCTCAACCTGGGCATGTGCCCTGACCGAGAATTGAACCATGACCTGGTTCATAGGATGATGCTCAACCACTGAGCCAGGCCGGCTCGGCTGCATTGGGTTTTTATGTTTCTCTCTAAAACACATCCTAGGCCTGCAAATAAATAAGCTCACAAAGAAAGAAAGAGGGAATAGAATTCTCAGCATCCTGCGAAGGCCAGCTCAGACTCCTCCTCCTCTCGGGCAGCGATTCCTCTGACAGCGTGGGGGCTCTGGCTGGAGGGGAGTCCTGGGTGGCAGGTGGGGGGAGGTGAGAAGAACAGGAACCGGACCACGTGGGCCTCCTGAGAGTTAGCTGCTTCTGGAAAGCTCCCTCATGGTTCCACTTCTTTTCTGAACATACTTGGATATATTTGGAACAAAACTTTAACTGAATAAAAGTTTGAGGTCCTCATTTGCTATCAGTACAACCAACCCTTTCTTCATTTCACTCGGTCACTTTCTTTTCTTCCCGGCCCCTCTCACCTGGGAGGACGTTTTGAAGACACGGGCCCTGAGTGGAGAATTGATGGATTTCTTCCCTCTGTGAAGTGTGTTAAGCATCAGCCACACTCTGTAGAGCAGTTCGATATCAACATGAGAAGTTGGACTGTAACGGACTGAGGTCTCCTTGCAGAGCTCCGGGTGCTGTCCTAAAGGATGCGCGGGTACTTGCATGATGTTATTGTTGTTGACAGGTGAACCGTGTGGTGGAATTTGTCTCCATTGGACCCATTTTACAGATGAGAAAAGTGAGCCTGGGGTTGGGCTCTAACATTCTGCCAAGGTTACAGAGGCAGGTGGTAGGGTGACTCTAGAGCAAACCCTGAGCACAGCAGCTGGTGAAGAGCTGCCCATGAGGCACGTGTGATTTGAATGACGCTGGTTTTTTGTTTTTGTTTTTTTTCCCCCTTATAGTGAGTCCTGGGAAAGAGGGCCATTTTGGGTAAAGAAACAAGCCAGAACCTGAGAGTGGAGAACCGCCTATGCTGACCACAGTTTGTAACGAATTTCCTCTTGGAATCTGCCCTGTGGCTTAGCTTTCAAACCACAGGTTCATCTTATCCAGGAAAACGTGAGTTATTTGCTTTCTTAATGTTGACATTAGCATAGATCATCCTGGATTTGTTGAGAACACACAGAGATGGATGGGTAAAAGCTGACAGAATCAGACAGGTGCCTTTATAAAGTACAGCCCCTAGAACAGCCCCTTGAACATCGACCTGTGAACCAGGAGGTCACAGTTCGATCCCCAATCAGAGTACATGCCCGGGTTGCAGGCTCAACCCCCAGTGGGGGGCGTGCAGGTCGCAGCCGATCAGTGATTCTCTCTCCCCGTTGATGTTTCTATCTCCCTTTTCTTTCCTCTCTGAAATCAATAAAAATACATTTTTAAAAAAGTAACCTGGAACAATAAAATAACTACCTCCTCTGGTAGGGTGTGGCGTTTCAAGGTAGTTGTGCAAATCAGAAAACCGGTCTTTTTATTTCTGGGAGGATAACATGGTGCTTACGTCCAGCAGAGAAGAAGGGTGGTCCTGGCATTTAGATCGGGAGCACGTGGTCTCCATCCTTACAGGCTCTCTGCAGCTGGACTTCCCGTGGCTCAGAGAAGGGCAGAGCTGGAGGGAGCTGGTGAGCGATGTGGCCGCATATCCTTCTGGTTAAGAACCCTGAGCCTCCCACGTGAAGGGCCGGCCGGCCTGGGGACCAGTGTCCGCTCCCTGGTCCTCGTCACTTACTGTGCAGCGAATGACCCCGCAGCCGTCTGTGTCGCTATTGAGCCCCGGCTTCCGTCCTGTGTGCGGCGAGATTCCGGAGCTTCTGAAACACCAACCCGTCCCCCGTCCCAGCCTCCTGGGTAAAGCGAACGTGCCCTCCTGCTCCCGAGGTCTGACCATTTAATTAAAAAAATTTTTTTTGATTGATTTTAGAGAGGAGGGGAGAGGGAGAGAGAGAAACATCAATGATAAGAGAGAATCATCGTCCAGCTGCCCCCTGCAAGCCCCCTACTGGGGATCGAGCCCACAACCCGGGCATGTGCCCTTGATCGGGAATCGAAAGGTGACCTCCAGGTTCATAGGTCGATGCTCTACCACTGAGCCACGCCGGCTGGGCCTGACGGTTTGACTTTGTGCCTTTCAGATGGCCTCGGCGAAGCTGAGGTGGCTGTACATGGCGCTGGTGGTGCTGGGCGCCCTCTGCTTGTACTTCAGCATGCACGACCTGGCCCTGTTTAGAGGAGGCCCATTAATTTTCAAGAAGGACAGCGGGAGGTTCCTCCAGCTCCCCGCCGTGGACTGCCGGCGGGACCCCCCCTTCCTGGTCCTGCTGGTGACGTCCTCCCATGAGCAGCTGTCTGCGCGCACGGCCATCCGGAAGACGTGGGGCAGGGAGAGGGTCGTGCATGGGAAACGGACCGAGACGTTCTTCCTCCTGGGCACCACCCCCAGCGAGGCCGCGGCCCGCGCGGTGGCCCAGGAGGGCCGGCGGCACGGCGACATCATCCAGAAGGACTTCCTGGACGTGTACCTGAACTTGACCCTGAAGACCATGATGGGCATCGAGTGGGTCCACCACTTCTGCCCGCAGGCGGCCTTCGTGATGAAGACGGACTCCGACATGTTCGTGAACGTCTCCTACCTGGTGGAGCTGCTGCTGCGGAAGAACCGCACGGCCCGGTTCGTCACCGGCTTCCTGAAGATGCACGATCTCCCCATCCGCCATAAGCACAGCAAGTGGTTCGTCAGCAGGTACGAGTACCCGTGGGACAAGTACCCGCCCTTCTGCTCGGGCACCGCCTACGTGTTCTCGGGTGACGTGGCCAGCCAGGTGTACAACGTCTCGGAGAGCATCCCCTTCCTCAAGCTGGAGGACGTGTTCGTGGGGCTCTGCCTGGCCAAGCTGCGCATCGGCCTGGAGGAGCTGCACTCCGAGCAGACCTTCTTCCCGGGCGGCCTGAGCTTCTCCATCTGCCGCTTCCGGAGGATCGTGGCCTGTCACCACGTGCAGCCCCAGAAGATGCTGATCTACTGGAAGGCCCTGGAGGACTCCGAGGGAGAGGCGTGTCCAGCCGAGTGAGCGGTGCATCTGGACCCGCAGCAGACAACCCGCGGGGATGTTTGTGAACCATCTCTGGACGGCCTCGCTGAGGATGGTCAGGGGCTCGGGAGGGGGCGAGGCACGGAGGGCGAGGAAGAAGAGGGGAGGGGAGGAGGGAGGGGAACCGTGATACCAGTTTTCCAAATCTGAACTAGAATGCAAGCTCGAATGAAACTGCCGATTCATTTGGAGTTAGTGCCCGAGCCATAGCAGATTCTACCTCCTGCGTCCCTACCCCCTTGCACCAGGTGTTCCATGCACACCTATGTCTTCTCAGGTTGGGGGCCAGCATCCAGGTGAGGTGGGGCTGCTGCCATTCCCATTGACACAGGAGGAAACGGTGGCTTAGGGAGGTCCGGGAACTTGCCCTCAGGCTCACGGCCAACACACGCTGGAGCAGGGAGGAAACTCGAAGGCCATCAGAATCCAGTCCCTCCTGCCCCCCTCCTGTGCGACCCAGCCCTCGCTTGGGAGAGGACGTGGTGAGGAGGCTCGGAGCGCAGCCTCGCTGATGGCAACCTCTGTCCATGTCCGACTATCTCCTCCTCAACTCCTGACCCTTGTGCTCTGTAGTGCTAACGCTGGGGTGAACACCCCCTGCCCCCCAGCTGTCTTCTGGGTGAGTCCCTGTTAGCAGCCTGGCACCCAGCTCATCCCAGACGCTGGCCTGCAGTGGCTGCAGCTCAGGCCCTGAGAAATGGCCGCTCCGGACACATCAGTGTGCACACGTTTTACTCAGACATCACCGCAGGGCCTGGCTCGTGTGCAGACCTGGCCACATGGCTGACCTCCCCAGGCGCATGGCACGTGCCCTGAGCCACCGGTGGCGTCCTGTCTGCACCGGATGCACTTCATCTGCACGTTAGGTCTCTAGGTTCAAATGAGAGGCCAGTGGGCGAGAGGCTTGGCCAGGGAAGGGTGCTGGAGCTTTTCTGGGAATCCAGGTGCATTTGGGTTAAGTTGCTTTCAAGGACCTCCTGGGACACTGGTCGCTGGATGAGCCCTGGTCCAGGGGGGGCGGTCTCCCCGTGTCTGTTCCCCAAGCTCATCTTCTTCGAATTTCTTGTGTGGCCAAGAAGCAGCTGTTTTGTGGTGTGGAGTTCAACCTGCAACGTCCTTCTCCCAGGAGGACTGTGCGGCCTGCTCTTCAGGGTGGCGTGAAAGCGAGGCACTTCTCTGCAGTGGTCTCTGCCCATTCAGCCACCGTCACGTGACGTGCAAGGCCGTCTTGCTGCTGGTCGCAGGATGAATGGTTCCTCCTGTTGACTTTCTTGGACTTGACTTTGCCAGCACTCAAAGCAAAGGCCTCACATGGCTGCGTAACAGACACGTTGGACGAAGCTCTGGCCCGAACTCAGAGCAGGTGTTTGCTGCAAGACGGTCACGGCCGTGTTAAATTGCAAAGAGAGGTCTGCGTCCTATTTTGCACAGCATTTGGGTGTGTGGGGACCGGCTGCTTCTTGCAGGCATGTTCCCGTATCCCAGCTGCTCTGACGTGCCGGGTCATGTTCAGAAAAGCCTCCTTCTCAGCTGGGAATCCAGGGATTGAGCACGTTTCCCGAAGCCCAGCGGTTGCCAGGGCCACGCGCCGCCGTCCAGCAGGCTGGGCTGCCCCTGATCCCCAAGACAATGGTGGCGTCTGAGGGGAAAGGGGTTGGTTGGGCCGTAGGGCTGGGTCTGTGCTTAGATGCCCACCTCGTCTGGTGTGTGTGTCCGTGTGGCCACGGGGCTCAGTGGGTGAGCGTGGCTGAGGCCAGTCCGGCCAGCTGCCTCTGCACGCGGATGGTCAGGCGTTACTTACCTTCTTTTTATCTCAGTTTTCTCATCTGAATAACGGGACAGGAGTGGTTCCCACCTCACAGGGCTATTGTGCCGCTTGAGGCAGTGTGTGTAGATCGCTCCGTGTCGTGGGGCAGTCAGAAGAGCAAGGCGATGTTTGCTTCTGCAGGTGCCCCCAGCGTTCTCAGCCGCTGGGGCGGCAGCCTGGAGCTCGAGCGCTCACTTGTTCTCGCCTTTGCACAATCAGCTGCACACGTATTACACAACAAGCGTGCACCACGTGCTGCGTGGGGTGTGGTGGAAACACGGGCTGCGGGAATGGTCTGCGGTCAGTCTCGAGATTCAGAGACTCACCTGACCGCCAACTTCCAGGCAGGAAATCCAGAGAGAGTGAGAAAAGGTGAAAGAGATCAACAGCCTCTCGAATCTGGGTGTGCCCCTTCCACGCGAGAGCTGGGCGCGCACCGCTCAGTCATCGGCACCCCTTTGCGTGGGTCTGCAGGCCGCGAGGGGGAGGCCAGGTGGTGCCCGCGGGCTCCCGCGCCAGCACCCGGCGGCTCTGATGGACTGAGCGCTTCACACGTGTGGTTTCCTTTCGTGGCTGCCGTGCCTCCTGGGAACAATGAGAAGGTATTTCCCTCCCACTTGGCAGTACTTGTTTTCTCGTGACATTTTTAAAGAATTCATTTTCAGCGTTTGCCCCATCAGCGCTGGCATTTTAGCTCTTTTCCTGGAGGTGGTAATGATCAGTCAGGCCTCCTCTCTCTGTCCAGGTCCCGGTGTGGTGCCTGGAGGGAGGAGATAGGAGAAACGGATCCATTGGGTTAAAGGTGATGTCACTAAGGGGTGTTAGCGGAAGGCTGGGCTGGAGACGAGGATTAAGTGAATGTTACCCCCTCAGACACCAGCTCCCGAGCCTCTTAGAGATTGTCATTGCCGCTTATTTTTATTTCTGTTTTGGTTGCACATGATCCACAAGTCCGTATGTGAACATTAGGAAACTTTCATGGGCTGAGGTGTTTTTGAAGCAAACTCCCAGTTCTGTCCCTGGGAGAGAACGCTGCTTACACCCTCCGTGTGACGGTAAATGGAAGGATCTGTGGCTGTGGGAACTTAGATGCGCGAGTTCCTCTCCGTTTTCCTGCTTTTCAGGGGTGACACCAGGAAAGGACCGCTGCTCTCCGAATGGCCCTGAAACTGAGCGGAGAGCCGCACCCGCCCCCCCCACCCCCCCCCCCCGTGTGGGGCACAGAGCCACAAAGGGCTGCTGGGCACACACCTATCTGAATACGGACAAATTAGTTTTAAATTAATTTTAGAAATGATTTTTACTTACCAGACCTAATCAACCTTAAATATAAGTGGAAAAATGAATTCACAGCCAAATGTTTTTGGTATCACATGGTGGTTGGTTTTCTTTTCTTTTTTCTTTTTCTTTTTGGAAGGAATGGTAAAAATTTAAATTTTGCCTGGAGTAAGTACAACAGTGAGAAAACACTCAGGCTTGCTGGCCGGCTGACCATGGTGGAGGGAGGAAGAAGAGAGCGGAGTTAAGGTCGGCTCTGAGAGCTCTGACCTGGCTGGACATGAGGTTGGGGTTCCTGCGGCAGAAGAGAAGCGGAGATGAGATGCAGAGAGTGAGTCAGAGACCTGCGGAGAGATAGAACCAATAGGAGGTGGAGACGAGCGCCATTGATTTTAAGGAATTGTCTCCAACAAGGGCTGATGTTGCATTCTTTTAAAAAATATATACTTTTTATTGACTTCAGAGAGAGGAAGGGAGAGGGAGAGATAGAAACATCAATGATGAGAGAGAATCATTGATTGGCTGCCTCCTGCACACCCCCTACTGGGGATCAAGCCCACAACCCAGGCTTGTGCCCTGACTGGGAATTGAACTGTGACCTCCTGGTTCACATAGGTCGATGCTCAACCATTGAGCCACGCCAGCCGGGCTGATGTTGCGTTCTTGAGTCTGAAGGTGGGAACTTCAGGCTGAGTTTCTATGTTGTCGTTCTGAGAACAATTCCGTCTTCGGGAAAACTCACTCTGTGCTCTGAAGCCTTCAACGGGTTAGATGAGGCCCATCCATGTTATAAAGGGTAATCTGCTCGACTCAACGTCCACTCGCTTAAATGTCACTCTTTACTGAAGGCTGCCGATTTTCTGTTTACCGCATGTTTAAAATACCTTCACAGCAACATGCAGGCTGGTGTGGGCCCAACACCCGGGTCCCACAGCCTCGCCTCGCTGACCTTCAGCGTGAACCATCACCGTGAGCTTGTCATACGTGCCAAATGTGCAGGGCTGGCCAGACACCCCGGTGGCTGTCCACGAGGCCGTGTCTCTCTAGGAAGGAGCCGGGCCATTGGCTTGTCGGCAGGAGCTTTGCAAAGGCCCGAGTGTCCATCTTGGTTTCCCTTCTCTTCCTATGACCTTGCCAGATCCCTGAGGCCTTGGAGGAGCTTTGTTCTCCCCTCCCTTATGGGTGTTGTTATGATCCTTAGCACGGGGGTGCCCTGGCTGGCTCCCAGGGAGAATTTCTATCTTCCTCACACACTCCTGTGGCTTTTCATTGGATGCAGAGTCCCTGGTCTTCTCTCCCCAGACAGACACTGGCGTGTGGCCTGGAATGGTTAAGTGGCTCAGAGATGAATTGGCCCTAGAATGGCTGATGCTGGTTCTTCCTGGCTGCTCCATGGAGATGTTTGCCTCTAAGAAGATTCCGGAGGCGCTGGTGCCTACCGCTTATCAGAAGTGGGGGTGCCCGAGAATCACAGGGGGTCCCAGTCTTGCCTCTGCCACTGATGTGCCCGGTGGCCGCAGACCAGTCTTTCCTGGTCTCTGGCTTTGAGTTCCCCTGCAGACCTGGCTAGGCGTCAAGCTCTAATATTTCTACCTACGGGCCATCAGGGTGGGTCCTTTCTGTCAGACGCTCTGTCAGACGCTCATGCACCTGGGATCCGGCCTGAGTCAGTGTGTGTGACCATCTGCTCAAGGACTTACGGGCACAGGTGACAGGCTGTCAGGCACAATCAACCTTAAATCTGAGTGGAAAAATCAATTCCGGGGCCAAGTGTATCTGGTGTCACACTGTTTTGTATTATCGGTTTGTTCTACTACCTCCCTTCTCAGGGTTAAGAAGTTAGTGCCCGATGCGTGCAGAGTGTAGACGGCCAGTGTGGCATTTACACAGCCCG